TGAGACAGCCTCAAGCTGTCCCCCTGTGTAGAATGCCATGACATCACACCTAACAGCAACCTCCAACTCCTGGGCTCAAGCGAGTCTACTGCCTCAACCTCCCAAGTAGCTGGGACCACAGGCGCCCACCACAACGCCCGGCTATTTTTTGGTTGCAGCTGCAGCCGTTGTTTGGCGGGCCCAGGCTAGATTCAAACCCGACACCTTAGATGTATGTGGCTGGCGCCTTAGCCGGTTGAGCTATAGGCGCCGAGCCACAGGCACCTGTCTTAACACCCTACTAGTTTTTCTGTTTTTAGTAGAGATGGAGTCTCACTCTTGCTCAGGCTGGTCTCAAACTCCTGAGCTCAGGCAGTTTCAATTTTAAGATGGCTTCATTTTCTGAGCTTTTTAGTGTCTAAAACTGCTCGAGAGCTTGTGCGTGCTCTCTCCCCTCCCTCCCTCCTTCTAGCATTTCATGGTTCTTCTCAACACAGCCTTCTCCTCTCTTCCTCCAACACTTCATTGAACTTTCCAGGATGCAAGTGTGTGTTGCATCCTCCAGCTCATTCCTTTCCACTAGCCTTTGGTTTTGTGGCAGTTCACTCCAGGGAGACTATCTCTTGGCTGATTTGAGGCAACTCCGGCGTGCCCTTGTCCTGTGCTGGGGGCACTGCCTTCCTAACTCCCACTGGCTTTCCCCTGCATGGCAGTGTGCCCATGCTCTGCCCTCCTCACAACTGGGATACAAGTTGAGAATTCTAACATGGAGAATTTATCCTAAAGAAACAAGAGACAGACAAAAGCTTCATGCCTATGGATGTTAACTGAGTTGGAAGCAGCTGGGATGCACAGCAATAAAGGAACAGTTACGAAGTTCTGATCCCCAGAATACTGCTTAAAGAGTACATTCTGAAGACCACAGAGGAAACTTTAAAAATGCCCTGGCTATAGCATTATGTGAAGAATACCAAGCCTGACATTGTGGGCAAACTGTAGAAATGAAAACCCAGAGGCCAAGGTTACTACTATGGTGTGTTGTTGCTACATTTTTATATGGAAAAACACGCAAAGTTTAATGCTTGCATGCTCATGTTTAATTTGATTGGTCAAATGTCTTTTGTTTTGTTTAATAGGTCATCTATTGCATGTTGGGGCTATGTAGCTGAGAATTTAAATGTAGGGCTCTATAAATCAGTAAGACGCTCTGGACGTATGTTCCTGTGAGTCATGTCGATAGTCTTAGGTAGCTCTTTGTATAACATAGGTTAATGATCTCTATAAGGTTACGAATTGAACTGTCACCTCCCCTCTTGCCTATTTTTTGTTGTTGTTATTGTTTGTTTGTTTTTTTGAGACAGCATCTAAGTTTGTCATTCTCGGGCTCAAGTGATTTCTCCTGCCTCAGCCTCCCCAGTAGCTGGGACTGTAGGTGCCCACCACAATGCCCAGCTATTTTTTAGCTCTTGCTCAGGGTGGTCTTGAACCCATGAGCTCAAGCAATCCACCCACCCTGGCCTCCCAGAGTGCTAGGATTATAGATATGAGCCACCACACCTGACCTCCCTCCTGCCTGTTCTAATTGTGAAGCAATTTTTCTGTGAATAAGGAAGTGGAACCTGGAGACATATGCATAAAATGTTGTTAAAAGCTGAATGCATAAGTATGTTTAGAACAGCTGTTTGTTTTGTTTTGGTTTGTTTTTTTTTTGAGATAGAACCTCACTGTGTTGCCCTCAGTAGTGTGCTGTGGCATCACAGCTCATAGCAACCTTCAACTCTTGGTTTTAAGCGATTGTGTTGCCTCAGCCTCCCAAATAGCTGGGACTACAGGGACCCACCACAACACCTGGCTATTTTTTATTGCAGTTGTTCTTGTTGTTTTTTAGCTGGCCTGGGCTGTGTTCGAACCTGCCACCCTCAGTGTATGTGGCTGGTGCCGTAACTACTGTGGTATGGGTGCTGAGTCAAACAGATATTTCTAAAGTCTAGATCAGCTGTGTTGGATGTACAAAACTGACAAGGAGCGCCGTGGTTTCCCTGGGGCAGCATGGTGGGTAGGCCAGGATGCCTGCTCCTGCCAGGTTGGAGAGGGAAACCACAGCTCTCCTTGTCAGTTTTGTAGATCCAACACAGCTGATGGATCTTCTAGACTCTCACTGAGACATCAAAACCCAAGGCTGTCCTCAGCTGCAGAAGTGCACCACCCCCAGAAGGGAAGGCTTCCAAAGGGAGCAGTGCTGTCATGACCAGCTCTCCTTAAATTGGAATATCACAGTATCTTAAGAGGGAAAGGAGGAAATCCTTCCAGAATGGCCAGTGCTAAAACACTGTTTTGTCTTTTTCCAGGGAAATGTTTTGGGGGATCAGGTGACCTCCGGAGGCACGTGCGCACTCACACTGGGGAAAAGCCGTACGCGTGTGAGATCTGTGACAAGTGCTTCACACGCTCGGCTGTGCTGCGGCGTCACAAGAAGATGCACTGTGAAGCCGGCGGTGGACGCCCAGATGTGCTGGGGGGGCTTGGTCAAGCCATCGAGACCTCCGACCTTGAGAAATCTCAGAGCTCAAACTCTTTCTCTCAGGACACATCTGTGACATTGATGCCCGTATCGGTTAAAGTCCCTGTCAACCCAGTGGAAAATTCCATGACAGAATTTGACAGCCACTCTGCCAGCTCCTATTGTAAGTTACGGTCCGTGACTCAACCTCATGGACTTAGTGACCAGGAGAAACTGGGTTTGGATCCTGTGAAGCTGGCCAAGCCCCCCCTGCAGCAGGCACAGCACCAGGCATATGCTTACTCAGACATGGATGGCCCGGCCAGCGTCGAGCCGCTGCAGGCTGATGGCATGTCCACGATCCGCTCATCCCTGGCTGCTTTGGACAACCACTGCAGTGACCCCCTGGGCAGCCGCACACCTGCCACAGCCTACAGGAACTCAGAGGGACAGTTTTTCTCCAGCATGACTCTCTGGGGGCTAGCAATGAAGACGCTGCAGAATGAAAGTGAGCTGGACCAGTGACGTCCGTGCCGATGGTTCTCAGTGTTGGGGTCTTCTGTCCACTTTGGCCAACTGGTGTCAGCCTGCAGGAGAGAACAACTTCCCCTGGGACTGGTGCCTTCTCACTAGCCAGGGGATATTTAGGTAATTTCCCCCCCCTAAAGATGGCTCAGGGATTGGGAAGAAAGGCCAGCTGGCTTGGCACTGAGTCAGATGCAGGGCGTAGAACTTGAAAACGCATTTGCTTTAGCTAGCTTGACTTGTGCAGACTTGGTGTTAATGACTATACGCTGGGGCCGTATGAAAGGAATTATATGATAATACAAATATTTTTGCATTTTTGCAAAATTGATATTTATAGCATTTTATATTTTTATTTACACAGATTTTATTTGTATATGAAGCTCATAATTTAATTTGAATAAATGAAACTTGCTTTTTTATGTAATATTGGGTGTTTCCTCCAGCATTTTATTAATCTAGAGATGACAGTTAATAAAAATAAATGTGTATATCAGCAAGGATGCATCATGCAAGGACAAGTGCTGTGTCTGTCCTGCCCTCCCAGGACAGTGGCTTTAAAGCAGTCGGGACAGTCTGACTCCTGGCTGCCACTTCCTGGCTAAGTTATAGGCAAGCCCCTCAGCTCTTAGAATCTCCTCTGGTTTGTGTTTTCCACAGTATTTGATAAATACCTTGCAGCATTTTTCTAAGACTCAAATGATCTGATCATCCTCTTAAAAATAGCTGCCCAGGGCCTGGTGCTTGGCAGGGCCTCCTAGCCCATGGACTGGACAGCCTCTGTGAGAGAGCTAGATAAGCCCACAGTGCTGCTGCCAGACGTCCAGGTGGGGTCAGGGTATGAGGACACAGAGTGTCTGCCTATAGCACTGAGGACGAGAGTGTTTGGAAGCACCACCACATGTGCCCACCAGTGGCTCTTAACGCAGAAGTCATACATGCAGTGAGTAGGTAAGGATTTTGTAGAATAACAGCACAGTTGCAGAGGGGAGGGTACCTGCCTTGAAGGCTAATTGAGGTGCACGTCCTGGTTTCCAGCTGTCTACTGCACCGTGGCCCCAGCAGGCTGCATGGCAAGCACCCATTATCCCCACCACATGCGTGAGAGGACTTGAGCTTCACATGGCTAGCGACCCACAAGAAGCACACAGCCCTTTGTGGGACGTGCTGGGTGGCATGAACTTGGGACAAGATGGTTGCCGAATAAGGTTGACCTCGTTCTTGGTGCTACTTCCAGCTTCTCCCAACCCTGGTTAGCTCCTCAGTCCCCGGCTCCTGCAGTCCCTTGAGCTCCATGGCTGTCCCTGTGGACACCGAGCCAGACTACCCTGGGCTTCATCAGCCAGGCCACGGTTCCCTAAAGCTGCCTGGGAGGTCAGCTTTGCCCCGTGTTCCTCCACATTGGGAGCCCGGCCAGGCTGGTGAGGAGCAGCCGTGCACTGATTTCTCCGATGATGCTCTTGAGGCCTCCCAAATCCTCTCTCCTTATGGAGACCATGTGCTGTCCTGGATGGCTGTGTCACACTGTCAGTAGGCTCACACCTCTGTAGCTGAGCCCACACTCTGACCTGCCTTGCTCCCCACTTCTCCCAGGAGGTGGGAGCAAACAGGTAGTGGCTCCCTCCTCACACCACACACCCACTGCCTTCTGTGTGTGCGCCGCCCCACCACAGCCCCCCACACCTGACTTCCCAGCCTGCCTTTGTCCCACTAGGACTTCCTACCACTCTCTGACCCACTCCACATTTCATTGTGTACCAATTAGGATGTGAACTCTCTGGGGTCTGTCTGTCATTCGCTACTGTGTCCCTGGGGCCCATAAAAGTGCCTGGCACTTAGTAAATGCCAGTAATAACTGCCTCGGGAGTGTTTTGGAATATCCTTTAGTTAAAACATATGATTGTGCTAGGATGCTTCTCTGCCTCGCTCACCAGTGTGACCTGTTCCTCACTGAGTCGGAGCTCAGTCTCCATCCAAGTTGACTCTTGGGCAGGATCTGACACTTCAGCAGTGAGGTGATTCCTCTTCCCTTCTTAAAATAAGAACCAAGAGGACCACACTAAGTTTCTCCCTCCCTGGCTGTTCCGTCTCATACTGTTGCCCCACAACCTACTCCTAAAGTTGGGGTGCCCCAGAACGCAAGCCCTGAGCCTCCCCTCTGGCCTTGTGCACATGCCTCCCCAGCACTCTAGAAGCCTGTGCCCAGCTGCTGCTGGCGCCTTCACTGTCCCACAGCCTCACAGACCAAGGGCGCTCGAGCCCTGTCTCCGCCTCTCCTCCCAGCTCTTCCCCTGCTCCTCTTGCCACCTCCCAACATGGCAAGTTCGTCCTTCTAGTTGCTCAGACTACAGACCTGGAAAGTCATCTTATGTCAGGAAGCACCTTCTGTATTCTAGGCACCGGGTTTGCCAGAGGATCAAAGAACACCACTCGGGTTGGAGGAGGTAACTGTTTTTGAAAAAACTGCATGATAAGGACAATAATTTGTTTTTACAGAAAACTTGAGGGAAAAACATTAAAACCTAAACTCTACTCTTTCTTATTTCTTGTCTTCTTTTTCTCTCCTTGTCACTGCCTCCAAAGCCTTACCCTAAATAAAGCATAACTCAGAAGAGATTAGGAGGCCTGGTTGCGCAGGGACAGGCACTCAGCCAACTATCTGACAGTGGGCCAGGCTGACTGCACTGTCCATGCTATAGGCCATCCACACTGAGAATCTGTATGTGTGTGCGCACGCGCTGATCCCAGGGTCAAGACACAGGATGGTGTTATTGGGCCCGTCACTGAGTGCACAGCAGATACCCCCCTCCCTAGGCTTCAGTGACTGTGCAGTGGCTGTGGGATTTCCATTTTAGAGCATTGTGGTTCTCCTGAGAAAAGCCCAGGACTAGGTTTCTATAGACCCGTCCAGGGTCAAGAACTGGTTTCCCATTGCAAAGTTGGAGGGAGAGGCTGGAAGGCTGGCAGGTCATCAAAACCCCAGCACCTTATGGTGTCTGAGCTGGAAGGGACCCTAAACCTCACCTCCTGCTTTTGTGGGTTTCACCTTCTGTGAGCTCAGCTGGCAGATGTTTGGGAATGGTGATTCCGTAGGGTAGGGGCGAGACTATAGGTCTGCTTTAGCAAGTTTTCTAGATGATTCTGAGGCAGTACTAGGACAGAACAATATTTGAAGCAGCTTCGATCTAGTGCAAACTCCTCACATACAGGTGCTCAGAAATAGCAATGGCAAAGACTGCTGTGTGCTGGGCACCGTGGTAAACACTTTTCAAGTGTCAGTTGGTTTAAACTTCCTAAGAACCCAGTGAGGTACATCCTATGAGCACTTATCGGAAAAGACTTCCTGACTTCCTGACAGGCCAAGGAACTTACCAAACGCCTCTTGGTCCGGGAGTGGCAGGCACAGATGGCCCAACATGCAGGGTGACTTGGCCAAGCCCAGAGCTGGGGGCAGCCCCAGCTGGGAATGGAACAAAACCCGACTCTGGGTTGTGCTGTGTGATGCTCATGAGGACACTGTTTACACCTTGGTGCATCTCCTTCCAGACATTTTCCTAATACAAGTAAATTTATTATTTTTTGGAGACATATCGCCCTTAGTAGAGTGCTATGGTATCATAGCTCACAGCAACCTCAAATTACTGGGGTCAAGAGATCCTCTTATCTCAGCTTCTCGAGTAGCTGGCACTACAGCCCCCTGCCACCACACCCAGCTAGTTTTTCTATTTGTAGTAGAAACCCAGTCTTACTCTTGAACTCAAGCGATTCTCTAGCCTCAGCCTCCCAGAGTGCTAGGAATACAGGATTACATATTATGCCCGGCAGTGACACAAATAAATTTAGAAGCATGAACATTTTTTTAAGTGGTTCATACTGTTTACACTGTTTTGTAATCTGCCTTTTTTTTTGAGACAGAGCCTCAAGCTGTCGCCCTGGGTAGAGTGCTGTGGCATCACAGCTCACAGCAACTTCCAACTCCTGGGCTTAGGTGATTCTCTTGCCTTAGCCTCCCGAGTAGCTGGGACTACAGGTGCCCACCAAAACGCCCAGCTATGTTTTTGTTGCAATTTGGCCAGGGCCAGGTTTGAACCCGCCACCCTTGATATATGGGGCTGGCACCCTACCCACTGAGCTACGGGCACCACCCCACACAGGCATTTCTGCGGCCCTCTGCAGATGACAAATTCCCTGACCTGAACCCCCACTCCACCCCACCCTACCCAGGGAGACCTATGGGTGAAGTGGCGTTCTCTCCAACCCAGTGTGGAGGAATGTCACCTAAGAAGGACATTACTTGCTTACTCATTTTCCAACCTATTGAGAGCTGATTTTAGCCAGGCCCTCGTGTCCAGCCTGAGACCTCTAGCTCTCTAGCTCTGGTCAGCTCCCAGCGTCCTGGGCCTCCCTGACTCTGTAAAATGGGTTTGATAAACCAGCTCTAAGCAGGGGTGGACTCTGGAAACCTGATGTTGAGTGAAAGACACCAGACACCATAGGCCACACACTGCCCAGTTCCACTTAAATGAAATGTCAGAACAGACAAATCCAGAGAGACGGAGGTAGGTTAGAGGTTGCCAGGGCAGGGAGGGAGAGGAATGGGAAGGGGCTGCTGAAAGGATTTCTGTTTGGAGTGATGAAGCAGCTCTGGAACTGGACAGAGGGTGCCACAGACTGGATTGTGTTCTCCCCCACAAATTTCTGTGCTAAAGCTCTAACCACAACCTGATAGGTCTTCCAAGAAGTGACTGAGTCTATGTGAGGCCGTCAGTGTGGGGCTGATGTCCTCTAACAAAAGGACTGCACACCAGGGTTTTCCCTCTTTCTCCCCTCCCTCTATGTCCTCTTCCTTTTCTTTCCTCCCCTATCCCTCCCCCCTTTTCTCTCTCTATTCCTCCTCTCCCTCATCTCTCTATTTCCCCCACTGCAGAAGGACCACACGAGGACGCAGCAAGAAGGTGGGCTGCCTGCAAGCCAAAGGGAGCAACTCACCAAAAATCAACCCTGCGGCACCTCCGGCCTCAGAACTGTGAGAAAATAGACACCACCACCCCAGGCTACGGCATCTCGCCACGGCTGCGCACTTGACAGAGGACAGTGGCAATGGTTGTACAACTTTGTACGTGTACTAAATGCCACTGAATTGTGCACTTAAAAAAGGGAAAAGTAGTAAATCTTATGTATATTTCACTAGAAGAAAAAATAATAAAACCAAATAGCCCTCCCTCACAGGACTGTGGTGAGGATGGAATAGCTTGTGGGGCTGCTTCCAGAGTCCACCCCCGCTGGCTGTGTCCC